ACAGACAGTCTGTATCTGCTGACAAATCTCTATTCATGTCTGAAGTCCCTATGACAGTAACTGCTCATTACTGGAAGAAAAATATTTCAAAATAAAACCCGGCCCAACCATTTACTTTAACAAAACATTTATTTGAAACAGGTTTGTGTAGACATATACCCGTCAACAGGATTTGATCAAAGTCACAAATCACTGCATTTTCCCAAACCCTCGGAAAAAAAATACTGTTCAATGCCCTTCATTTGTATTCACTCCAGGAGGGGACTCAGCTCCACTATTCTGTGTGTAATTTAACAACCAGAGGACATTAATAGGACGTGAAAACGGTAACACTTGGGGAGGGAGGGAAGGAAAAACCCTCCACTCCACAGAAGCGCTTCACTGCTCTGCTGGGAGCCAATTAAACCTGCCCCACAGCCCTGCTCCCGCTGCCTAAAATCCCGCAGATTAAAACCTCCCTTCTGAGACAATATTTAGGCGAGCTGAGCACAGATGTGACAGCAGACAGTGGCGTGCGTGGTTCTGCCAGGGTGAGAAAGACACCCATAGATGCTGCAATTCAGACTGCCCGCCAGGGGCATGTAGGAATGAGGACCAGAGAAAGCCAGCCCCCGTGGCTCTGTCCAGGCAGGCCCTGGGGCTACCTCATCCCCCTGTCCCTCAGAGAGCGACTTAGTGGGCACCACAGTTGCTGAGTCACCACAGAAATGGGGAAGAGGGAGTGTGTGAGGGGAGAAACTGGGATTTTTTGGGGTGGGGTGGGGTGGGGTGGGGAAGGTGGTATTTGCTCATTTGTGGCTGTACACAAGTGAACTAATCTGTAGGACCAGCATTGACTCCAAGTTCGCCTGGGCAAGGTCCTCATCCTGTTTCTCAGACTTGTTCCTTCAACCAGGCCCTGTCTCCCTCCCTGCCCTGTCTCTGCACTCTTCAGAGCTCGCCTATAATAGACTCTTGATAAGCTCTCGACCTCTCGCTTCCTGGGTAGGCCTATTTGGACAACACTGCTCCTTCAACTTTTTTCTTCCTCTTTCCGTCAGAAATCAAAGCCACCTGACACTTTGTTCCTGACACTTGAAGCAAACAGGTCTTCTTTCTTCCTTTAGCCAGGTCAGAAAAAAATGCCTCCTGGCTAATCTTGGGGGCCTGTTTTTCTTGGTCGGATGCCCGGGAGAAAGAGCAGAGTAGCTATCTCTGAGGTGGCAGGGGCAAGAGACTGTCCCTTGAAAATGAGCCAGAGTGGGTATAAGAAGAATCCTTCTTTTGTCTGCCCTCAGCCAGGGGAGCTGAGGTGTTTGTCAGTGTTAATAGTGAAGGACTGTGTTTGGGGAGGGGAAATGTTGGGAGGGGGTGGATAACCCCTCTTTCCTGTTTCCATTTCTTTTGTTGTTTCACTTAGATAGTTGTTGGCTTGGCAGTCTTTTCTTCCCACTGAAAAACCACACTCCCAATTCACAAATCAATCACAGTCGACAATTAAGAGCATGCTTGAGGCAGAGTGCTGGTTAGAGGTCTGACATTCATTGAAGCTCTTGGGAGGAGGAAGGGAAGGGAAATGTATGCTCCTGGGCATTTATGGGGCACTGAGTGAAAATAAAGAGGCCAACACAGGGAGTGGAGGATCTCAGGTGTGTTCCTCCAGATCTGTGAATGCCAGACCCTCACCTCCGCCACCCATTAAGAACTAGTCTGTCTTCCCAATCCTTCAAGGAGGAAAAGCATCTCATGCAAGGTGAAACGGTCTCCCCCAAGGATTTTCTCAGAGAGGCAAGCACCACGCTCAAATTCGGTTGACAGGGTGGGGTGGGGGTAGGGGCTTTTTCTGGGTCTTTTGTTTATATGATCTCCATCACTGTGTGCTAAGTCAAGCACTAGTGCAGACAAACTACTTGATGAATAGAATGGGGTATGCCATCTTGTGACTTGGCCTGATAAAACCCATTCTTTGCCAAGTTATTATTCAGGCTCTGCTTGACCACAGTTTCCCTGTTCACATTTTTATGGATCCCCAGAGATGATGGCTACATTTCACATGCTGCAGCAAATCACTCCTTGAATTACTTTGGGACGATGACCCTGGGCAGTAATTCAAACTCGAGCCGAAATGTGTGCATGTCTTTCACAAGTTCCCAATGAACGCCCACCTTTCCCTATCACATACTTTCACAAACATTCTCATCTTGAACTTACAGTTCAAGACGTAAATCCCTAGGAACAGGAATGTGATAGAAAACTGTCTCTTGTGGTATTTTTTTTAAAATAGAGTCAATGCTATAACAAGTGGAGATTATAGACTATAGCTTTCTTTTAAAAAGTTCAAGCTTAAAGCCTGTAATATATACACCATATGCATTTTCAGTTACCCATACTCACTTTTTTTGTTCGTTATTCATGGCATCTTGACAAGTTATTACTGGTTTTCACTGCCAACTCCCTACAGCACAACCTGAAGCCTTGTCAAGAAAAAGAGTACATCCACAGAGTTCTCAGCTATGCTCTGCTGATGCCCGGGATAAGACTCCAGGAGTATTCAAGAAACAGCATCTCCTTTCTCTAGAGCATGGGTCATCACTGCTAGATGATCCCCAAAGCCTCACCACATGTAGCGTGTGTTGGGAATGGGGGAATGTAACACAAGCATGATGTCTGGCACACTTTGTGTGGAGACTGAACAGACACGTCAACTGAAGGACCTATACATACCCAAATGATTACCAAGCTTGTTTCCCTCAGCAAGAAACTGCTGGCCCATCCACGCGAACATAGTTGATTCTATATTCCTGCCTCCCAGGACTGATGGGTATGGAATAGCTATTCTATCCCTGGGAAAAGAAAGGCCAATGGGAGTTGTGCTCTGTGCCTGAGTGAATTCTGCCACTTGAGCCCGGCCCCTGAGACAGGCCCTGCAGGGCTGACCAACTACATCCTGCTCCTCTGTCTCTCACAGTGTGACTGAGTGACATGTCCCATGTGGTATTCACACTGGACTGACAGCAAGGGCATGTGACGTAGAGCAGTGTACTTTGCTCCCTGGGGAGGGATGGATGTGGCACTCTGACCTCAATTTAAAGATAGGACGGAGCTCTGAGAGGTCCCGTGATAAATCTGATCCCTTACATGCAGTGACAGTTGCTCCTTGAAAAGACCCAATTTAGTCAGCTGGCTACAGGAAAGCTTAGCCAGATGAGAATAAATAGTAAGACGTCCCTACTCTCATATTCTCTCCTCTGTGCCTATCTAATTTTTTACAAAGAGTAGTCTACTTCTGAACCACTTTTGGGAAATATACTTATATCTCAGAAAAGGTGAACTATATTTTAGTGTGAAAAAGAAAAGAAATGAAAGGCTCCCAACAGAAACACACTCTGTGGTTCAAATCCAACTCAAGAGTTTGAGAAAGTGTGATGTGTTTGACCCAGAGTCCAAGTTGCCTCTTTGCAAATAAGCTTAGTATCTGCATGGAATCTAAGAGCAGGGACTTGTCATGCATATTCTGCTCTCGTTTTGTGTCTTTTTCTGTATGTAGGCCCTATCTTTCTGGGTGCAGTAAGGACCTACAATGACTTGTTGGGTTAATTACAGGCACATGCTGGGGTCAGGGGTGGGTGGGTGTGAAAGTCAGTTAATGATTCACCTTGCTCTGCTCTTGTAGTATTTTTAATGTCTTATCACCCCAGGGAGGGGAAAATGGCAATTTTCTGAGCTTCCCCTGTTAACTTTCCCTGCTTTCCCTCAAGCCTTTTCTGGATCCTGGCCATGGCAGAACTGAGGTTTAGTTCTCTCAGTCATTACAAATCACACTCTAATTTTTTTCAATGCCCAGCGAGATGTGGGTGCTCTAAAAACATAACAGTCGGAAGCAAGGTGCATTACTGTCTCAGTTCCTAAGCTAGCCCAGCCATTCTTAGAGGGACTCTGCCATTTTAACCAGGAACAGCTGCCCAGAAGTATTTATGTTAAACCCTCCAAAAGTCTGGTCTGGCAACCACAGCAGAGAGCAGAGAATGTGCCTTGGGCTGGTCATTTATTAGGGGCCTCAGGTGCTTATATGCACGGCCCCAGGCACCCAAGGATCTGTCCAAATTTAGAATGTGTGACTTGGTAGTTCAAAAGTCAGTGACTGGTGGCTGATGCAGCTCAGCTGCATGGTGCACAAGCCAAGCACATATGGGGCCCTGGGTTTGATCCCTACCACTGCTCCCCCACCTTCTGTGCCTCCACTCAAAAGTCAGTGATTCAGCATTTCCCTTCCTCATTTAGATTCAGGGCACCTGGTATTTAGAGACATTCCTCAGTCTAACACTGACTGTGTAAGTCTAGGAAAGCTTGCCAGTATGAAAAAGAATGTTTCTCTGAAAGTATAGAATTCTTTTTCCATTAGCACTGCATGTCCCAATCTCTTTAAACCTTCATGATTTTTTTGGTCTCTAGGCCACACCCAGAGGTGCTCAGGGCTTACTCCCGGCTTTGTTCAGGGATCACTCCTGGTGGGGCTTAGGGGACCATCTAGGGTGCCAGGAACCTGGGTCTATATTCTATCTGCTGTAGCATCTCGTGGGCCCTTAGTTAGCTTCCAGTGGATCTCCACAAACATCATGGCACCAGCATGGCTTTCAGAGTTTTTACAGTGGAAATCTGGGGGTAATTATCCTCAGTGTCCTCCTCCCTTTGTCTCAGGGTCCTTGCTGCTTGCTTCCACCTTTGATGGTGACCCTTAGTCCCTGCCCTGCATTGGGCTTACTTGTGCTCTCTGTTCTAGAGCTACAGGACAGGCTGTGGATTCATTCCATGCCCACAGAGAACATCCTAAAGGTTCTCTGACTTCCAGGAAAAACCAGCATGAGTTCTAATTTACCTAGATAATAAAGGCCCAGAAGCTGAGAGAAATGAATGTTGGAGGGGCTGCCCAGTGCAGGGCAGTGAACGCTGGGCTCCCAGGACTGCCAATTACAAGTATGTGCAGCACAGGTAGTTAGTTGCCTCCAGAGACGGGGAGAACTCTAGCGTCTATCTGCACCTGCTGCTGGAGGGCCAGGGCCCATTTAGGATGTTGCTCACCTGCTGCCAGGCACTGAGTACAGTGGATGCAGGAATGCTGGCAGGAAGACGCCTAGGAAGATGTCAATGGGAATGTGTGAAGAAACAACTGCAAATTGACCACCAGCTAAAGAGCTTTGCGATTTCGCTGCAATCAAGGAGTTTATGTCAACCTCAAACAAACAAAACTGGAATCAAAGCAAGATAGCAACCTGTCTGATGGGACGTTTACATGCAGCTGGGTGGGCCTGATCTGTGCTAATAAAACAGGAAGTGAGTGTGCATTTATGAGTGCTCCTGATCCCCCTAATTATGCAAGATGGGTTTCTCATGCCAACACTAAACCTTACTGTTCTCCCAAATTCACTGGTGTTGATGTTTAAGTATTGGTGGGACATAACGCTTTTAATTTCACACCTCACAGAGCACAACTGAATGCTTCACAACAGTGTAAACAAAAATTAGGCCAAGCGCTGCAGACAGACTGGAAGGGAAAGAACAACTTCCCCTGTGGCATATGCTCCAGGTTTGTTAGGGAAGAGAGAAGAAGCAAACTACTGGGCTAAGGCCACTGAAAAGTGTCTTCCCATGTTTTGGCTGCTGCCACCAAAGCCACTTCCTACAAAGGTGTGTGAACCTTGGATGCAACAACCCGCCCTTCTTGGGTAGAAGGTGGGGGCGGTGTTCCCATGTTATTTAGTCTTCAGTTCCCTTTTGGTAGTGTCATAAGAACGGACTACTTCCTCCTGAGAAACAGCTCCGTGTTCTTCCTGGGAGAAGGCATATCCATCTGAGAGGGAAGCAGAAACAGGAGAAGCTGGTTAGTAAGGGATGCTGGAAGGGGTAGGGGGTGGGTGGGGCACAGTAGGAGGGCACACTGCTTTTGTTGGGGGGAAGACCATACTGCATTTCTGCACAGGGGCCCTATTAGCTCCAGGAGTTAGAGGCCTGAGACAAGGGGCCCGAGGTTGTGGGGTGCAATGAGGGCCGAGAAGATGCAATATCTGGATGCAGCCTGACCAAAAGGAGGCTCTGAGTGGTTCCAGCTGCTGATTATCCTGGTGCTCAGACAGAAGCTTGTTTGGAGGGGCGGAGGGCATCCTCTCATTTTAATAGGTAGGGATGCTGCTACTGAGCTCGAGCCAGTAAGCATAAACAATGGGTCACTGGTCCTTGTCTTTCCCACCACCAGTCAAGAGGAAAGGCAAGTTGTCAGACTCCGGAAGTGTCCCAATCTGTCTGAAGCTGGTTGGTTAACTTATGAAGCTGTAAACAGGCCAGGACACACACATCAGGCAGAGTGAAAGCTGGCAGGGCCATCCACCCAGTGCTGGGAGCATTCCTATTTCTAGATTGAACTAATTTGGACCAGCAATAAGAAATTGCAGAGAGTTTAACTTTGTATAAATAAAGAACAAGATCATAAGCTTAAGTCAAGAGCGACTGTGATGAGCCCTCTGGCCACAGGAGGGCCAGTTCCTGCACTTCCAATCATGATCACAGTGATGGCAATCATGATAATGATAGAATTGATGCTGGCCAGCAACTGTTCCGGGCTCTCAGGCCCCATTCCACACAGGCACACAGCACTGATAGCTCATTTATTCTTCCCACCAGCCCTCTGAGGTAGGCAAGTGCATTTTTCATACCTCACAGATGAAAAACAGAGGCACAGACTGATTCTTCCACCAAGCCCGAGGTCAGATGCCTTGGGAGAGGCAGAGCCATGAGCCAAGTGGGCAGCATGGCCAAGGGGCCACAGTCTCTTCTCTTAAGCACCTTCTATGCTTGCATCTGGAAACCCTGGCAAGGGCTATCAACCTTCACAAGGGACATCTGAAAGACTCCCTTTGTCAGCTAATGCTTCTGAGTTAGGGGTGTGTTGGGGACAACACAGACAAACAGCCCTGCTCATGCCATTTTGTCCATAAAGTGTGACAATCTTGCAGCTGAGCTGTTTGTTCCCTGCCATGGTCTGTGTGTGTGTGCGTGTGTGTGTGTGTGTGTGTGTGTGTGTGTGTGTGTGTGTGTGGTTGGGGGGAAGGGCATGCCTCAAACTGCACAGGGCTTACGCCTTGTTCTGCACTCAGGGATCACTCCTGGTGGGCTCAGGAGACCATATAGGGTGCCAAGGGTCGAACTCAGGTCACTCTGTGCAATGCAAGCACCCTACTCCCTGTACAATTGCTCCGACCACCCTGCTGTATTCTTTAAAGGGGAATAGTGAAAAGTCAGAAATGGTGCCCATGTGTCACCTCCTGCTGATTGGGGTGTTTCTTAGGCATGTGACAACAAAAGAGTTTCTAGAGTGTAGAGATGTCTCATAGCAATGTTTTTAAAAAATGGTCTTGGGCTGGAACCATAGTACAGAGAATAGGGCGCTTACCTTGCATGTGGCCAACCCAACTTCAATTCCCGGGATCCCATATGGTTCTCCAAGCACCACCAGGAGTAATTCCTGAGTGCAATGCCAGATGTAACCCCTGATTCCCCCTCCACCAAAAAAAGTGTCTTCATGGGGGTAGAAAAGAGGAAGAGATTTTAAAGGAGGGCACCAAGGCCAGAGACATGGCTTGTGGGAACACACATGAATGATGCATGAGGGATCCCCAGGTTCCGTGACCCTACACCATGTGGTCCACCAAGCACTGAGCTCTGTGCAATCTCTGGGCACTACTGGATATAGCCCCAACAAATAACAGTCAAGATGCCAATGTGACTCCTCTGTCCTGGGGTGCCTCCTGGGGTGTCAGAGAGCAGTGTCCCAGTGAAGCCTAAGGAAACCGGGCTGAGACTCAACCACCAGTGTGGGTCATGTGGCAAGGGGTCATCAGAAGCTGGAGGCCACTGCAAGGAAAGAGAGAACACACCCAGGGACTTACGGTGATTGACTCCCCTTCACTCATTTCTCAGAAACCCAAATCCACCAGCCTGTCTGCAGCTCTTCAGACCCCAGACCTGGGAGCCCCATGTTTCCCTGGGCCAGAGTAGGTGGGATTTCAGAACAGAGGATGGCCACAAGAAGCAGCAGCTGGGGGTGTGGGTACCTGTAGAGGCACCCCCTAATCACCACCCCAGACTGAGCCTCTTCCTATTTTTCTCTTTCTCTGAGGGTGGCCTTTGCACCTCGGGTCTTGAGAAGCCTCTTGGGCTCTGAAGGGGAAATGCCGCTTCTCACTGCTGAGTCCTCTGGAGCCTTTAGGCACTTGCCAGCTGCAATGGTGCTTCTGGGTGTCGCTGATGCATGCAGGAGTCACTGACTGGCTTTGTCCCCCTGGTGGTGGTGGTGGGGTGCTTCTTCAGCCCGTCCAGGGTAGCACCAACCCCAGGGATGACCCATGGCACATCTCATCTCCCAGGTAAGACCATTCTCAACATGTCTGACCAGGAGTCCCCCTCGGGGTTGTCTACCACTCTGTCTCCCAACTAAGCATGGCTCCACCTCACCTGAGACTGAAAAACAACTTTGCAACCCAGAAAGAGGGTTGCAAAAGGGGGATGAAGGAATGGGGTTACGTTGGGGGGCAGAGCAAGGATACCCCTCTTAGAAATCAGGTCTTTGGGAGTTCAGGGCTAACCTGGGAGAAGCGGTCATGGGATCATGAGGGACGATGATCATCCACTAACCTCCACCTGCTGGCCACCTTTGTCACTCATAGCCTGACAAAGACACAAGTAGAGCTTCCCCCTCCTCGCGCCCCCCCCCCCCCACTTCTCTGCCTGATGAGCCCTGAACTGCCATTTGCATCCTGGGGGAGAACAGAGGAAGCCTCCAGCTCTTTACATGCCCACATTCATTAATCTTGAGGAAATTCTGACAGCCAGAGAGCAGTGGGGCCCTGAGAAAGAGCTGAATGGACTCAGCGAGGGAACTTTCCCTGGCTGCCGTCCTAAAGCTTCTGCTCCCTAAATACTAGGGCCAAGCCAGAGTAGGAGGAAGGGGGAGCGTGTGTGAGCGTGTGTATGTGTGTGTGTGCATGTGTGTGTAAGGAGATAAAAGAGTGGGAGAATTTCTTATTGATTCTGTCTTCCTCTCGTATAACATTTGGTGAAGTCCAGGAAAACATGTCCTTTCTTTACACTTGGAAGAAAACTCTCCTTAAGTAGCTTTTGTTCAAATCTGAGCACCGATAACATCTCGATGAAAGTAGCAGTTTCCTGTCTGGGAAACAGATTCCTAATAGCTACAGCAGCGGGGAGGGCCATGGGGACAAAGAGAAGATCTGACTGCGGGGAAGCACAGATCTCTGTTACAAATAGTGCGTGCTGGTGGCCCAGACGGAAGTGAAAGAACTACCAACACTAGGCTTTTCTTTCCATTTCCTGGGAAGCCTGAGGCCCCAAACAGCTGGGGGACAAACCCAGGGGTCCCACAGATGCCAAGACAAACTGCATAATGTTGCTAGCTGCTCAGCAGCTTCTCCGTTAGAGACGGAAACATTCCAATGTGTTGATCAGGTTCTTATTAGGCATTCTGAGTATATAAACAGTGTTGTAAGTTGTCAAAAGCCTTTGGATTTCTTGGACTTATGATATATTTTTTGTCTCTCAAAATGTGGTGAGTTAAGAAACATGTTTAGTAGTCATTTGAAGATTATTTTATGACTCTGCCACAGCAGTTCTTACTTCTTTCTCACTCTCCATATAGATGTTTTGGTTTTTGGGTCACACCCAGCAGTACTTAGGGCTTACTCCTGACTCTGTGCTCAGGGATCACTCATGGAGGGGTTTGGGGACCATATGGGATACTGGAGATCAAACCTGGGAAGGCTGCATGCAATGCAAACAACCTACCCTCTGTTGTATTTCTCTGGCCCCCATTTACATATTATATTGTATATACCAGTGTGACTGTATGGAGAGAGAGATCATGTGGTCCTGAATCTCAGCACTCCATATTATACTGCTAATGATTTATATTATTTCAAAACATTTTTCAGAAGAGCAGTGTAGCTCTGTGGCTTGCATATTGTCATTTCAGAAACAAGCCCACATTTTTCTGTATCTGAATAGAGAAAGTGATTCCTATACACTGACACAGGATCTCTCACAAGGACCATAGGAGGCTGTATATTATTAGAATTCCTATTTTCCTCCCCAGAGGTGAGGAAAGTCTTCTCTGTATTTGTTTCTTTGGTGCCGGGGAATGAACCCAGTGCCTCTCACATGCCTGAGCCATGTCCTCAGGCTTCAGAAGAAATAGCATCTTTAGAGAAATACATGAGTTGCCCAAATTGCAGCTAGTGGCAGTATGCTAGGAAAATAAATACTAATATCTAACACTTATTGGAGTCCCTAAGATCAGGCAGTGTTCTAGGCACATTATGTACAGGATCTCATTCAAGCCTCCCAAAGACCCAGGCGTATTCTCCTCTCTTTGTCAGGGGCAGGCATACAAGGGACAAGTCGCTTGCACAACATCATAGGAAAAGATCCCAGGTACTGTGGCTCTGACTTCTCAGGGCTCACTCCTAAAATTTCCCCATCAAGCTCTTGGAAATTAACTTCCTCATGATCAGAGAGAGTTCTGGGCATCATCTACACTGTATCCACAGCTTTCTGCCAGTTATACCAGACTTGCCTCAGTCCTGCTAGGTATTCTGTGTCTGACATATCACCTGCCCCCTAGGCAGCAGGGGTGGAAGAATGGGGGGTTGTGTGCATGGGAGGGTATATGGGCTGGAGAAGGAACTAGCACTCTGACAACCAGAATGGGGGAGCAGATGACACGCTACAGCCCTTGGGTGCTGGGAGGCAGCCAGCACAGGGAAAATCCAGCCTCTGAGGCCCCCTTTGGGACATGATCTCCTGCTCCTCACTTCTCTGGGTCCAGGAGCACCCCACAGACTGCCTGGTGAGCCTTGCTCTGCAGTCCAGCATCTGCTGCTAAGGGGAGAAGGATCACAGCAGAGTGCGCAGAACTCCTGGGAAAGGCATAATGGACTCTCCCCCCTCCCCCTCCCTCCCAATGAGCCTCAAGCTTCTCATTCTCATTAACATGCTAATGTTAAACCAAGACATGCCTTTTGCTATCTTTATTTTTACAAAATTTTATTTCATTAAAGCACTGTGAACTACAAAGTTATTCATAGTTGGGGTTATGACATATAATGTTCTACCACCCATCCTGCCACCAGTGTTAACTTCCTTCTGTGTTCCTAGGTTTCCTTTCCTACCCCCTGCTCCAGCCTATCACCTTTCAAATCGGGTTATTAAAGCATGGGTCTTACCACTTTTGTTGACTCTGTAGTTTGGCTACTAAATAGCTAAACTCTCTCATTCCTTAACAACACCAATGTGCCTGAATCCCCTTGACCCCTGCCCCCATTGCTTCTTATCTCTCTTCTCCCCTCCCCCTGCACTCTATTTCTTGCTATCTTTGGAGGAAACTTTTTAAAAGGAGTATCACTCTAACCTAAGGAAAAATAAAGCCCTAATGGGAGGTGGAGAGAGAATCTTAACCACATCAGGATCTTAAATTTAAGGATTTTTGTTATTCAGTCATTTGACTGGGTCCCAGGGAATTACCTACATTCAAGCTGTTCTTGCCTCTGGCCAAGTCCATATATTCCATTTCCAATGTGGGACTCTGACTTGGTGGCTATCTCCCTCCCGATGAGCACTACCCAAGCTCTACTCACACCTCTGTGTGCGGATTGAAGGGTCCCTGGAACCTAAATGGTTCTGCCCTCTACTTACGGGGTACAGGCTGCTGGATAGAGCCAGTGCGGAAAAGCGTTGGGGGGGTCTTCCTGCTGAGTCGCTTCAACAGCCGGTCCCTCTCGTTCATCCTGCAGGCAAACAAAACAGCTTCAGTGTTCGGCTCATGCTCATACAATTCAAAGGTACTCGATGAATGACTTCAGGTCATAAAATAAAACAGACAGGGGTTAAAAAGTTTCCCTCAGCACAGAAAAAAATGTTCCAGTTTTGCAACTGCCCGTTATTTACAGTAGATGCTATCGTGACACTTTGAGTGCAGTGCTGGCTCTTCTCAAAGGAACTGGGCACACAGCGCCTCTGAACTCTGCCTTCCTCTAACGGAGGGTATTACAAGTGCTCTTTCATACCAAACGAACCCTTGGCTTTCCAAGACGCTTTGGCAAGGAGTCATCTGTCTGTTTCTATGGTAAATACTTTCAAAGCCTCAATCCCATCTGTAGCCACCTTCATCCTAGCCAGTCACCTGTATTCCAGGGCAGAAGCCGGACCCAGGATCCCGGCAAGAGATGGGTTGGGTTTTGGTGTTTTGTTTTGTGCGGAATTTGATGTGGTGTGTGTGTGTGTGTGTGTGTGTGTGTGTGTGTGTGTGTGTGTGTGTGTGTGTGTATGGGGCCACACATGCTGTGTTCAGGGGCTACTTCTTGCTCTGTGCTCAGGGATCCTCCTGGTGTTACTGGAGAATACCTTGTGCAGAGCTGGAGATTGGCCCAATCTGAGTTGGTGGTAGCATGTAAGGCAACAGCCTTAACTTCTGTACTATATCTTTTTTTTAATATATGTATTTGGAACCACAATGAAAATCATGATGTACCAAGAACTAGGACCCCCTTCCTAACTTCCCTGAAACAATTTCCTCCAAATTTACCACAACGAAGAAATACAAAGCTATCCTGGAAGGCAGTGACTGCTTATTGCTATAAAGTGAAGGTGGGTGGGTGCATGAAAATTGCCTAATTCTCACAAAGGACTCTGATTTATTTTTATGTTATTTTATTTATAATTATTTAGTCACCATGGAATTACAAAGTTATTCATGATTGGGTTTCAGGCACACCAATCCCTTCACCAGTGTCCACTTCTCTCCATCAATGGCCCTCTCCAACTCCCCTCCACTGCCCTGCACCCACCCCCTTGCCCCCATTTGCTTCTCACCCACCAGTCTGCTTTAACAAGAGATGATTTTTGGTAAATGTTTGCACTGTGGTTAACAGTACTGTTACTGATAGGGTTTCATACCTAACACTTGACCACCTTTCAGCACTGCTTCCACTTTGCTCCCAAAGAGACTAATGGTATACAGGAGTTTGCAAAAATACCTCTGTTGATGGGACAAAATGTTTCTCACAAATGCATATGTGGACAGATGGAAGGCCTCTCCACCCCCCCCAACCCCGCCCACCAGAATTTGGAGACAATATCTTTAAAGAGGTATTTAAGTTAAAGACCAAACAGGATGGCCACTCAATACCTCTATTGCAAAGCTCAACACCCTAAAGGAAAGAGAGAGAAAAAAGGAATTCCCTGCCACAGAGGCAGAGGATGGGGGGGATAAGTTGGGGGGGGGAGGGTTACTGGGATCATTGGTGGTGGAGAATGGGCACTGGTGGAGGGATGGGTACTCAATCTCTGTATAACTAAAACCCAAGCACGAAAGTTTGTAAGTCTACAACTGTACCCCATGGTGTTTCACTAATAAAAATTAAATTAAAAAAAAAAAACAAAAAAAAACCCCAAAAAATGAGATCATTGACGTGGACCCTACTCCAATATGATTGGAGTCCTTAACAGGAGGAGAATGGGGTAAAGACACATCTAGAAGAACCAGTTAGGAATACAAACCAAGATGTGGCCACTGTGTACCCACGGCAGAGACCCTGGGAGGAATCACAATTTGGAGTCAGCTCTGTCAACACCTCGACCTTGAACTCACAGCCTCCTAAACTGTGACTGAGTATATTTCTGTCCAGCCTCTGTCACTCTGCTATGGGAGTCCTGGTAATTGAACCTGAGAACCCAAAGGGTAGGAGCTGCCCTTTGCTCAATTCTAAAGCAGCTCTCCCAGCTTTACAAGAGAGTCAAGGCTGAGGGAGTGGTTCCTCTGACGACAGTCACACCACAGGTTCATCCAAGGACCTTCAAAAGAGGAGAGGCCCTGGGTACTATAATACAATGAGTGAAAATTCTATGAGCTGGGGTTCATTTTGTATTTGGGTTTTCAGAAGAGCACCTTTTCTGACAATCTTGTGGAAAGGATAATGTTTAATTCATCTTCAATCAATGATAAGTCTCAGCTAGCTGACCTTGCAAAATGTCTCATGAATGATGAGGAAAAGCACCAGTTTTTCCCATCCTTTCACAGTGGCTCTCCCAAGCCTTGCATTGTTGTCCATGGGACAAATTAATCTCATTGGGCCATGCTGGGCACCTGCTCTGGATGGTGAGCGTAGGAGTCACACTGCCCCTGTCCTAGGGTCACACTGCTATCCTATCCCTGAACTATGGCACCCAGAGAAAGTCAGGAACTAGCAGAGTGAATGTCTAGTAACCCACTAAGCATTAGCAGGTCATGACCTCTAACTTTGACCATATAATTCCATGAATCCACAATCCTGAGGTCTTCCTCCACATGGCAAGGGGTACAAGGAGACATAGGTGCCCAGAACCCAGTCTATCACCTGACCTTTAAAAATAGACCTAATAGGCTGGAGAGATAGTACAACAGGTAGTATGTATGCCAGGCTGACCTGGGTTCAATCCCTGGAATCTCATATCATACCTTCCCCGAAAGCCTTCCAGGAGTGATCCCTAAGTGCAAAGCCAGGAGTAAGTCCTTATGTGGCCCCAAACAAAAATAATTAAAAAAATAAAAACAGACCTGATAGTGTTTGTATACTGAGACCTGTGTGGGTGCTTTTTGCAGTGTGTGGACGGGTACATCCACACATGTGGACAGAGTTGGGGCTGGGAGGGACAGTGTGGACTCAGCTCCTACCCATGATGTCACTTTCTGGTGCAGACCTCCCAAATATCTGGGAATCACAACTTATTTCCATCTTTATGGAAGTATGAAAGGCACATTAATCAAGGGATGTGTGTGAACATATTATGTCATATATCTCTATCATATGTAAAGTTACATACATATGCTGTTGGGGAGACTTGGAACTTTCACATACTTGGGTGCAGTATATGGTTCTTTGTGTTCTTCCAGCAAGTCTAGCAAATTTCAGCATCAGGCCTAGATGCTACCAGTACTTCTGTTTTTAATTAGGAAGCAAAACTCAAATGTAAAATCCTTTACAATTCTCTGATTCCATTTTTTGCTTTCTACTATTACCACAAGATGATCTTCTATGTTTTATACTCTTGTTTTATATGCTTATACATTTCTACTTTATATGTACATGTTTTAGAACATAATTATGTTTATTAATTATGAATGTGTATACACTGACATAATTTTGAACATGACAACATATAAACTGTAAATGGATATATATTTATATTATGTACACACATATATGGGCTGGAGTGACAGCACAGTGGGTAGGGCGTTTGCCTTGCACAAGGTCTACCGGGCTGACCCAGGTTCGATTCCTTCGCCCCTCTTGGAGAGCCCGGCAAGCTACCCAGACTATCTCACCTGTGCAGCAAAGCCTGGCAAGCTACCCATGACGTATTCAATATGCTAAACACAGTAACAACAAGTCTCACAATGGAGACGTTACTGGGCCTGCTCGAGAAAATCGATGAACAACGGGAGGACAGTGACAGTGATAGTGGCACACATATCTATCTTTGCCATCTCCAAATCTTCACATTTTTCAATATCCTTTCTCCCTTTGGCTTTACCTAATGGTTTTTTTTAACTGACCACAGCATGCTTTAATTACTACCCTCTTCAAGTTCATTCTTATCAACTTACCTGTTCTTACATACAATTATATTCCTTAAAAATTCCCCATATTCTCATTTCATCAATATTTTGTAGACTTTTAAATGACACTTCTTGCATATCCAGTTGTTGGGAGCCAATAAATGTCCTTAGAAGTAAATGCCTCTTAAGAAGAAAGAAATAACTCTGTTTCATGGTGACTCCCTTATAATGTAAATGAGTTATGGACTTATTATTTATGATGATTTTTCTTATGTCTTTGCCAGGGCATTATGAATCACACCAATTTTTCTATTATTATCTTTTCTTCGGGGATAGTCCAAAATAAGAATTTACGGATAATAAGCTCTTCCCATTTCTAGTGAATGATTCTTTCTTCTACACATCTCCCTGGGAATATAGTATAATTCATTCATTGTCAATCTAGTGAGTACAGTATTTTTAGTTTATGTCTCACTAAAAACAAAGATCCTACAAAATCAGCAGCTTTGCGTATAATGAATGTCCTGTTCTATCTCACATGGGCTTGAGATTTTATGTTCTCTCCTCATCCATTCCAGAATTTTCAGCCTCAGAACCTTTATAAGGTCTCATACCCTGTTGTGGCCTTCTTGGCTCCAGCTCTCTCTTATCATGCAGGCTTTGATGTGTCTCCATTTCTGCTACCTAGGTCTCCTGGTCTTTCTTTTGAACTTGACTGTGAATTGAATGCCTTTCTTTGTTCATATTTCTTTCCCCCGCTATTTCTATACATTTGGAAAAGTTCTCTCTAAGTCGGCTCAGTCTACCGTATTGACTCTATCTGGTTTCCATGAATAATTTATATTTCCCTGACCCAATTACTGACATGATGGCTACAGAATAAGATCACAGAATTGTTCTTTCCCATGTGTTGCTGTCCTTAGAAACAACCTTTAATGGGAACTTTTAAGATAAGAATGGATATGACTGAGTTTCAGGTATGAAAATAATACTCCTGTTTACAAAACATCTTCCTGGAGGCACACAAAGCACTGACTTTTCCATGGACTCCAATACTAAAATGTCAGGAAACATTATTTACCAATTCCCTTTCCTCTTTGGGTAGAAAATATCACTGTAAATAATCATTGTTATAATTTCTCATAAACAAACGTGTTCAAAAAATAATGAAAACAGGTGATAAAACTAACC